ACATACTTCGAATAAAATTTGATTACTTTCTAACACACAAATACATACCTCCAGCTTGTCACAATTTAGTATTCGCACAGTAGTTTCACTTGTATGGAGCAACGGTAAAAAAAAACGTTTTCTCTGAAACTAAATGAGATTTCGCAATGAAACTTGGAGCACTTTTTATTCTTCGTTTAGGCTAGGATGGTAATGAAAATGGTGACTGGAGTGAATACTTAGCAAAAGTTAAATTTTTAATAAATTTTATTAGAATTTCTGGTAAACCTAAATACCACACAAAAATATTTTGACACAGCAGCAAAACCAGTGGAAAAATCGCCAGAGCATATATCGGTAATTCTAAGAAATAAATCCCAATGGAGAAGGAGGAGGGCACATAATCAAAAAATTTACTAAAAATTCACTTTACGGACGAAGAAAATAAAAATGATTTTAGAGAAAAATTGGCAATACGCAGAGATAATTTTTTGTATTCCAAAAGTTAGATAATATCCCTTTTGAAAATATTCATTTTGATTTTGGAAAAAGTATGTTGCTTTTTTATCGTTCTTCCGTGATTTAAAATACACTTCACATCAATGGCACTCACACCGCAAGAATTAATTTTTTAAAAGCTGGAAGTCTGTTGGTTTTTGATTTCTACGTAAAAATTACATTCTATGCAGTGCAGTGCAAAGTATGCATAACTGAGCTATAAGGCCGGAAGAAATCAAAAGAACTATTCCCTTGAAAAGCTTAAGGATCAGTTAGTCTATAATTAATTAACATAACGTAGCCTAATATATTGGCCACCGCAAGATATGTACTTAGGCCTCGAATACCAGATCGTGATGTTTCAAAAACTAACAATCAGCCCTGCTATATTTCTCCCTGTTTTCTGTTGTCTACACTCAGAAAAATGTCATCTAAATATCAACTTATAGCAAAGAAAAACTTATTTATTAGTTGACATAACTAAACTTTTTTTCTCAGTGTATGATGTGAGAATAAACCGAATTTTATGACCCTCTACGTCGAAGCCTTAAATCAAAACAAAAAGTCTTTATAACTTTCGATTATAACACTATAATATTTAGCTAATAAAACTAATCTAATACCTACTAATTCAGGATGTATAAATTAAAATATATTTATCTTATCGTAACGCCTTGTGATTACTCGTTTGTCTGCCATTGAAGTATAAAAGCAATCAATTTCGGTCTATTACAATGTCTGTACTCGTGAGTTCCACACCATGAATATGAAACTACTAACTGTTCTCGCCGTATGCCTCTTGGGCTGCGCAATCGCGTCCGCCAGCGAAGTTGATTGGTCTAAGGTACGTTCGTTAGATGTCCACCCAGCAATTCCAGTTAATCCACGGTTGCCTTATGACCGTCTTGAAGGACGTATCACCAATGGCATTGTGGCCGAAGAGAAACAATTCCCTCATCAAGCCGGTTTATTGCTGTACTTTTCTAGTGGAGCTGCGTGGTGTGGTGGCAGTTTGATCTCAGATCGTTGGATTTTGACAGCGGCCCATTGCGCAGAAGGGTAAGCGTGAAATTTCCAAAAAAAAATATATATATATCTACATATAATTGAAAAGCAGTTTGGAATGTATATCTAATCGCCTCTACCTTTGTTTTTTGTTTGTTCCACACAGCGCAATTGGTGTCGACGTGTATCTGGGCGCCTGGAATCGTACCGATAAAACTGAAAAGAACCAACAGATCATCTACTCATCTGCCAGGAATATAATTGTTCATGAAGAATGGGATGCCTCCTTGTTGCTCAATGACATTGCACTTATTAAGCTGCCAGTTGAAATTGCATTCAACGGTTTGTACACTTCTTCAACCAAATATTTTTGTTTTATTTTTTTATTTTATTTTTTTTCAGACTACATTCAACCAATTGCTCTTCCCAAAATCTCGTCTACATACGACACCTATGCTGGTAAACAAGCGATCGCTTCTGGTTGGGGAAAGATTAGCGACAGTAAGTTGTAATGCCTTCAATTATTTGTGTAATAAATAGTATGTATGTATGTATGTATGTATTTATGTTTCACACCATTTTCGTTTATGTGACAGGTGCTACAAGTGCCACCGACGTGCTGCGCTGGATTGAAGTGCCTATTTTAGAAAATCGGTCATGCAATTTATGGTTCCTCGGCTTAATTCAGTCATCAAATATCTGCATCAAAACTACTGGTGGTACTTCTACTTGCAATGGTGACTCTGGTGGCCCATTGATATACAACGATGGTGAGGAAAGCGTCCTGATCGGTGCCACTTCATTTGGCATTTCTTTGGGCTGTGAAGTTGGCTGGCCAGGTGCGTTTACTCGTATTACATCATACGTGGATTGGATTAAGGAAAAATCCGGTGTTGCCAACGAATAAAATGCAGTACTACAAAAATCTAAAAAAAATGCCAGCAATAAACTATAGCTAATTTGAAAAAGCAACAAAAATAAGTAACATTTAATCGAATGAATCATGATTTGGGTAAGTATTTGATTTGGCAACGTAAGAAATATCGCAAACGGCATATCGAACACTTTTGAGTGAAGAGTAAGTAGTATGTAGCCAAGACCAGTTTTTCAAATTTTTTAGGAGAGAATGAAAACCTTTAAAAATTTTAATACAAGAAATCGCGTATTTCAAGCGTTGATGAACATTTTTTTTTTCAATCTTTGGCGCTTATCCAATTTTCTGTGACTATTTTGGACTTAACAAGTTGTCTTATCCCGCAATAGAATCGGTTGGAAATAAAACAGGCAGTTCGATGTTTTGGGAAACGATGAATTCTTAGTTGCATCAAAATATATTTTTTTAGAAAAAGCGAACTTTTCACTCTATGCCAGCGTTATGTTCCCTAGATTGCGAGATCGAAACTCATGCTCGATACAAATTTCTGGACAAAACCACTCTGTCAACTGTCAAAATGTACACACCTTGGTGTCAGAATTCGGTATCTCTAAAGTTGTGTAATAACGTTGAGCAAAACTAGCAGCTCCGTCAAACCCTGGAACAGATCGACTTTTTATCTTAACTTAAATTCGGGGACAAATACAGTTTTTTTAAAAGAGTATAGAATTACATACATAGTGTCGTATGTCGATGATAGGTATCGAGATTAAAGCGCCTCAACTACAGCACCATTTTTTCGAGGACAAATCGTAGTCATGAAGCAAACAGTCAGTGAAATGGATCCAGCCACTAACATACTTATAAATGTACATTAGGGCGGACCAATTTGTATGAGAGATTTTTTCGTCCCTATGCGCATATAGCACAGAAAGACTTTACGTGTAATTCTAACCAAATTTGCCGAAGAAACCTTGGGTCGGAAATCAATTTGGAGTTTGCCAAATTGTGAAAATAGGTTTCATAGCATTTTGGCTTAGTGTCATAAGGGAGTGCTTAAATTTTGCATAACAACATCTGTAAGGGGTTTTTGATATTAGAAATCCATTTATGCACTCATATTTTTCTTAAAACTTCCACCAGAGGGGGCAATAGTGAAAATATTCACTACTCCAAATAGAATTTAGACCCATGATCTCCGCGGCAAATTTGCTTAGAATTACACGTAGGATCCT